AAGGATGAGGCAGGAGGATCACGAGTTCATGTCCAGCCTGGGCCCTTGACAAGGGCCTTGTGCCAAACAGAAACAAACTCCAAATTCAAACAAACAGACACTTGATAGCTTGTGGATGTAGCCTATTTCCAAGGTCCTGGGTGGAATCAACCACATCCCCAATCCTTCCTGGTCTTCTAGTTCTAGCCCTTTTGTGTGGGTCCAGGTGCCAGAGTTCCTCGCACTGTTACAGTGGCCAACACATGCTGAGGAAAGACCACGTTTGGTTCACAGCTCTGTAGTCCGTACCAGCCTCTTTCTCCCTGGAGGGGCCTGGTATCCCTGGCCACCAGTGGCTGAAGAGACCTAGAGGAGTCCCGACCATGGAGTTAAATGCACAGTGATGGGGACATGTTGAGCGACCAGGCTGCCAGTTCAGCAATCCTGCTGGGCCGGAGGGACAGGGCATGGGGAGGGAGGGGATGACACCCTCTGGCCAACAGGTGTTGTGGACCTGACTCTGAGACCACTGGATCTCACAGCTTCCCATTTCCCGGTGGGGCAAAGCAAAATGCTCTCAGGAAAAGATATGTTCAGTATTTGACTTTTGATCTCAGCCTGCTGCTGAGGCTGGCCAGGGGCAGCTCCCTCTCAGCCCTGAGATCTCCAGGGGAGCAAGATGGAATCCTGGCTGGGATGGGAGGCACCCACCATTTGGCTTCAACTTGACTTGGATTTACAGGGACATAACTGCCCTAAGCGGAGGCCAATTCTTCTCAACCCATAGCATCATAAGCTGTCAATGTGAGGACTGGCTGCGTAAACTCTGTATTTCAGTAAGCCTTGTACCCCAAATCCTAGTCTTCAGAGGTTTTTCCTATCCCACATCCAGCATCCAGGGCCCTTGAGAATGAATGAACCAATGCTCACAATTATTCTTGTGCACATGTCAAGTTTCCTTCTTTTTTTTTTTCTCATGTGTCTGTTTCTCTGCCTCTGTTTTTGTCTGTCTCTGTGTTTTTCTGTCTCTGTCTCTGCCGCTCTCTCTCTCTCTCTGTGTGTTTCTCTCTCTCTCTCTCTCTCTCTCTCTCTCTCTCTCTCTCTCTCTTATCATTTCCTTCTGAATACTGGAGCTTGAACAGCAGGCTCTGTCTTCCTTGGCCTGGTCTATCTCTTTTTGCAGCCTTCTGGTTCCTGGCCTGCCAAAACATTTGGGTTAAACTTTGTCCCCAAAAGTAAGGGGCTGGGATGAACCTCTTTGTGAAGGTCCTGGGTTCAGTTCCCTGGGCGAAAGAATGAATGAAAGAAAGCAAACACTTGTTTAGGAATTAACAAGCTTTCCCTCTAGTTTTTTTTAATTTTTTTTTTAATTTTTTATTTATTTTGTGTGTGTGTGTGTGTGTGTGTGGCCAGCTCAGCCCACCAGGGGGCAGGCTGGCTGGCATGTGGTGCTGGGGGATTGAACCGTGGTCCCTGTGCTTTGCTAAGCTTGTTCTAAGCAGGTGCTTTAGACCACTGAGCCATCTCACCAGCCCTCTAGTTTTTAGTAGTAAGTCAATTAAGAAATATTACATAAAGAATACATTTTGATCTACACATTAGTGTAGAAATCTAACCATGTAATGGTTAAAATGGTTACATTCTTTTAATTAATTTATTTAATTAATTTATTGTTACGTTCTTTTACTTAATGAGGGCTTTCTTCTAATAGTGTTTGTAAACAGGGTATCATGTCTGAGTCTTGTACAGCAAATAACCACTAAGAAGAGAGTATGGTATTTGTTAATTATTTAAACTGTCCTACCGATTTGATTTAAAACTCTCTCATTGCTTTTTGCTCCTTAATAAAATTATGGAAATATAGGAATACATTTTAGACGCAATTTTAAGAGAGTATACTGAAGAGGATCATGGTACTATTCGAAATTCTACACAACAGGTCCTAAGAAATATTAGTTGTTGAATAAAACATGCAGGGGAAAGAAAGCAACATTTTCACTAGTCTCTGGCTAAACTACATATAGATTTTCCAAGATTTGATAACCAGAAATATCTTCCATTTCTTTGAAGCATATTAGGTTCTTGGACTGTGCTTCTTGTACTACAATGCCACATTCACAGTAGAAAATGCATTTACTTTATTTTTATGTATTTATTATTTTTTCTGTATTTTAAGGAAGGGTCTACAGGGTGTTCAGGGTCTCACTACTAGATCAGACTCATAATGATCCACCTGTTTAGAGCCTTTCAAGAGCTGGGATTACAGGCACATGCCACCACGCCCAGTCTCATTTGCCATCTCTGGGTGCCCCAGGGGTGGGGCCAGCATGGCAGGCCTGGGGATGAATCCCCAGCCCCTGCTCCTGCTTGTAGGCGCTTTAATCCATGGAGCTATTTGGCTGGCACAGCATTTCCTTTATTGAGCTGTGTTATTTGCCATTAAAAATATACTGATTAAAATCAGTATTTCATTTCAGGAAGATTAATTTAGTTGTGCAACTGTAATGCTTATATCTGTGAACCATATTTTATATAACAATTTTGTCATGACCTTCCCATGGTTGCTGCAAAATCTTATATTACTGAGATCTTCCGTTTGAGCTACAGATATGAAATTTCAGCTCCATACAAAATATTTCCATTACTGTGATCTCCTATCACTAAGAGTCAGTGTATTCAAGCAGAAAATCTTTTCTTAATCATTTCCTTTTTTTTTTTTCAGAACTGGGAATTGAACTCAGACTCTTGCACTTGCCAGGGAAGTGCTTATTCCACTGAGCCATCTCCCTGGCCCCAATCATTTCTACTTTTGTAGAGGAATCATAATCCATCTAGTTTTTCAGAAAAGATTATCGTTCTCTCTAACTTTTTGGTCTGCAAACTTAAGTTGTTAACCCTCCAGAAGAGAAGCTTAATGATATTATTACCCTAAAACATAGGCTGTTGACCTTAACATCCGTACCTGTCTGAGTATCAAATGCCTTAGACATAACATGGAAAAGTTGTGGAAAAGTATTTTCCATCAATTGTTGTTATGCTAAACTTTAAATCCATAAAAATGTGAAAAATAAAATAAAAATTAAAAGATAATAAACATAAAAATAGACAATTACAAAATTTTATGCAGAAATTTAGAAATCTAACCATATACAACATTGTAGCAGGACAGTCCTATGACACTTTTTTCTTGTCTTTTGTTTTCACTTATTAACTTTTTTCTTTAAAAAAAATTTCTTGAGAGAAAATATAGCAGTAATCGATATGATATTAGAAGTAGTACACTTTGAGAAGACCAGAATGACAGGGATACTAAGCATGGCGCTAGTATTACACATTGCTACCTTCAGTGCAGTTGCTTAGTTCACAGGTATCAGCATATATAGTTAGTCAGGGTGAGAATCCTACCAATTAACTGCTAGTTTCAAAAACTTGATGGAGATTCTTAGGATCATTGCCTTACCCATCTTGTGTATATAAATGTATGGCTTTGCCCATGTCATGTTTCGTAGCTTTTCTACTTGGCCTTTTTCTTCTTTTGAGCTCTTACACTAGAGAGATTATATGATATTTGCACATGTGGGTCTGGTTTATTTCACTTACAAGGACAGTCAACATTGTAGCCCTAGCCCTTCAAGTTCAATGAGGACTCAGGACATAAGAGAACCAAAACTGTAACATCCTGTAACTTAGTGGAGTCCCAAATTTTCTGATCAAGCAGATTATGGGGCTACAGAGGAAAGTAATCAATGATGTAGAGTGTGCCTAAGGAGAGTCCCATGGAGAGAAAATATTCTCTCAGGCTTTCACAGACCGCAAACTGGTCAGGCAATGGCTGTGACTCATCCAGATGGCTGATACTGACAAAAGATCTACAAACTGCTGTACCGGGTTTCAGGGTAAATCTTGAGAGGATTTGACCTTGTCAGACACAAAAGTTACATTTCTTGTTATATAGGTCTGGCTTTATCTTTGTCTTGATCATCCAGCAGTAAAGTGTAAACATGATGTATATAAAGTAAATCCATATTAATATGTTCAGTTGTGAAAGGCTCAAGTCAACAACTTCTCACATTGCCAGGCATGTGGATAACCCACTACTATTATAAACTGGACTATATTGGATTATTTTGCTGAATTCATGTACCTAGAATATATGAATGATAATGGAATACCCATCTCTGACAAAAGTAAACAAAAAATGTCAGTATAAATGAAGGACCATTTTGTAGTGAAAAAATATATATTTGAATATATAAAATAGCATAGACATACAGCTACTTTCTCTTAGTTCAATGAGAAGAAAGTTTTGAACTAATAGTGTTTTGACAAGATATCATGTCTGCATCTTGTACTATGAATTACTAGTATGAAGGCAATAATATGCAATGTAGTAATTATTGTAGCTGTCCTACTAGCCTGTTTTGAAACTGTCTCATAGCTACTTCTTACTCAATAAAATTAATATGAAAAAAGAAATAGAAACTCCAACCCCCCCCACCCCCTAAAAAACAATGAAGAATAAAAGAAGAGAAAGAAAAATGAATATACAAAAAAATATTATCATTGTCCAAATAAGCCAGGTCCCAAGTCAGTCTCAGACTACACTTTTCCCTTTTCCTCATACATTCATTTACTGACTTCCCTGGTGCATGCAGAATTTCTACCCCAAAACAATACAGTTATCTTTTTTAGGACATTTGTCTACACAACTCTCAATTCTCTTTAATTCTTTTAAAAGCACATTGTTTAATTAACATCTGATAATATACTTGTCATTCAGTCTCTTTGGTAAAACACAAAGCAGGCAAATCAGAAGGTATTTCTCACATGCCAGAGGATATTGTAAAATTTTCAAAACGTATGTTTCTTGAAAATAGTGTAAACTTTCACATTTGTTTTCATTCACTTCAAATACTCTCTGAATCTAAACTTTTATCTCAACTTGACTAGCTCCTGTTTTTAGAAGGAATTTATATTATCTTCACCAAAATTTTGCTCAGACTTCTCTGTTTTATATTGTGACATTTACCTGGCAGAAAAGATGCCATAATCACACTTGTGGCTTCCCCAAGGCTGTGCTCACCCATTGAACTCAGGATGAGCTTATCACTGAGATTTTTCCAAATGTGCAGAAATCAAGTACCTAATTTGTGACAGAAAGGGGTGGCATTCCTACTCTCTCTCTCTCTCTCTCTCTCTCTCTCTCTTTTTGCGGAACCCGGGATTGAACTCAGGCCCTTGCGCTTGCCAGGGAAGCGCTTATTCCACTAAGCCATCTAACCGGCCCCCCTACTTTCTCTTTCGTGAAAAATTCAGGAAAAATATTCTGAGGTGCAAGGATTATCTTTATTTTTCCCACTTCTCCTATTATAATTATTCTTTTTCTTTTTAAGAAAAAAAATCATAAGTTTAATAACTATTAAATGGCATTAACATGTATTACAAAGCATAAAATATACACATTTCTTCACTATATTGATAGTAAGTAAATATAATGAATCTTTAATATTTATGTGTCTGATTAGTACCAAAATAGAATTAACTCTGATTTCCTGATAATTTTATTTTAGTTGAATACCTGAATGTTGTAGATAGTGGGAAGATCATCGCTTCAAATTTGCAAAACTTCAGGAAAAACAAGTGAATCATTGAAGAGAATAAGAACAGCATCATCTAATCTGGCAACACTGTCAAGAGAATCTACAAAGCTAAGAGGTGCAAAGCCAACAAGCCATACTTACCCTGTTTTGCATGGTACAAGTTCATAAGTAAAAATTACAACAATGCTGAATAAGCTTGCATTGTCTTGTATCAAACTCTCAAATACATGGACAAATAAAACAATGGACAACAAAATTTGTTAGCACTGTTCCAAAGATTCTGAATATATTTTACTTGAAATTCTTTTAAAAACTATTTGTTTTCTATGGATTACATGTACAACATGCATACTCATAACTTTCAATTAATTAATTTATAAAGTTACATTATATGTCTTTTCACTGAAGCCTCTATGAACACACTCAGCCACCTTATCTTTGACAAAGGGGCCAAACATACTCACTGGAAGAAAGATAGCCTCTTTAACAAATGGTGCTGGAAAAACTGGCT